CAGGTGGTCAAGAGGCCATAGGCGCCCACCCCTGCTGTAGACAGTAATGATGGTAGTAGGGATGATGTTTTTTTAATGGAAATTGTATTTTATTTGTATATTCTGTTCACAAAGACTTATTGTAGTAAAACCAATTATATGGAAATATACTCACTAGAGCAGAACATTTGGTTTCCTCTTTCCAGCTGTTCCAATTCTTCAAACAGCAGTCTGTATCTTTGCCCAGGCTGAATGTAGAGCTAGCTGAACATTTTTCCTTGTTGAGTGTGCTGTGAACAACACTCTTGAGATTGTGAGAAAGGAGAATGACAACTGTTCTAGATTTCACACCTGAGATATTTTTGCTTGACTTTTAAAGGATCTTTTGTTATAGGTTTTCACAATTACTTCTTGGAGGATTCAGATCATCATCCTTAGTCTTCAGCCCATTTTTCATATTTCTGTCAACCCCTTTTCCTTTTAATGGAAACACTTCATAAAGTGTGAAAGATGCAGAACAGAATCTCAATTCTCCATTGGTACGAATGTCCCAGAAGGACCCCATTGATTTTGGAGGAAAGGGGTGGTGGTCCATTAGATGTACTAAAGAATGTTCACAACCTGCACCTCTCCTATTCCCTACCCTGAACCCCTTTAAGAACTGTTAGCCTTTTCTTTGTTATATCAGAATTCTGGAATTATAAAACAGATTTGCTCCATGCTTAACCCCTGCAACAGAAAGAATGTTTTGCATATGAGCATATCTTCACATTTGATATAAAGATATATTCCTGACACCAGGATGACAACATTGGTTTTGAGATGGAGAACAAAATATACAAGACAATTACCAACTTTAGCAAATAAAATCCAAACTGTTGCTCCCTAGCAACAGTTCTTTTATTCATGAATCTGCTTTAAAGGCTTATTTGTGACTTATCACATTTTTATTGTTGCAAAATAGTTGAATATTGGAATGAGGTGATAGAATCTGGCAGGAACACATCCTGGATGCAAATTGTTATCCCTGACTGTTTCTTTCAGAATTTGTTTTTAATTATTTCCATTGCTGCTGCTGCCGCCACCCAGTCATAGATAATTCAAAGAACTAAACTGGAAGAGCTGACATTTGAATGAAGTTGTCTTCTATTGGCACAATTGTTAATCAGGCCTGCTGTCAGTCATGAATTTGCTGCCTTACTTCTCTTGGAATGCTTTTGGTTGATTTTATTGTTTGTCACAGCCAAATATTTAGACTGGATTTGGCATTTTTATCTACTTATTGAGTCCTTCCCAAGGATCTGGGATAGACAGATGTTGATGTTTGATAGTACTAAATGTTCAAGAAACTATCGTTGCAGGATGTAAGCTGTTCTGAGAAAAGCTGCTTTTTGCAATTGACTGATAGTGAATTTGTCAATGCCAATGGTGTTCAAATGTGTTGTGATTGTTTTAGAATGGCACCCAAGGGGCCTATTGCTATTGATACGGTTCCACCACAAAAGCGCGTAGGACAAAATCGCGCTCGACAAAAGCGCGCTGTGACGTCATCACAGCGCGACGAA